GCGCGTGCGTTTCCAAAACGTATCCATTTCTTAAATTTAAAAAAAAAATTGTTTTCACATATCCGTTTCTGTTTTCATGCAACCTAGCATCAAACACACAATATTATATTATACTGGATGAGGTGAAACAAATTTAAATTAAAAAAATAGAGAATTGAAAAATATAATTTTATTTATTCGGAACAAATGAGAAGTTGAGAGATGCCAGAATGTGCCCATCATTCTTTCTCTACCGAATACAGAGTGGATATGCTCTCTTTGCATTTCTCAATCATATATTATTATTGCGTTACACCCAATATTGCATTTACTTGTGGCCCCTCATTTTCAATAATTATAAAGTTTTAGTCATAATTAGGAGATCAGAAGTGAATTAGTGGTTAAAAATTGTATTTAGAATTGAGAGATCATGGTTTGAATATTTTCGATCATGGTTGGCCATTATAAACGTTTTAATCGACAAAACTTTTGTCATAAATTTAAGAACTTAGTCTTATGAGTTATGATTCCCACCGGTTATAAAAAAAAAGTAAGAAATAATTATTTACATGATATATATTAAGGGTTTTACTATGAAAATCCTATTTCGTGTGTTTCACTGAGATATTAAGATCGCTGTCTCTATCAAAATATTATAAACTTGAAAAAGAGTTCAATAGCAGAAATGGTTAGTTTTAAAAATAAATTGTTTGAATCGTTGATTCCTACAAGCAAGAGAAAGTGGAGAAAGTGTTCTTAAACACAAGACCAAAGACCAAATCTCCCATTGTCATGCAAAAACTGAAACTAAATTAATAAAGGATCAAAACCGTTAATCGAAATACTTCTCGTTTGGGTTAGCTGGGTCTGCTCTTCCACGTTAGCATCATACTGCTAACAAAATATTTTGGAAAGCAATAAATGTACCTTGTCAATTGTTTAAATAAAAGACTAACATAATCATATAGTTGTTTTACGGTTGTTCGTGATCTATCTTTTCAGCTAAGGAAATCAGGCTTCGTGAAGAGCACTAGGGCAATACTAGAATATGAATAGTATATTAAATGAGTGAGTTTTAATTGTTTGAGGTATAAAAGTTTCATTGGTTCTGGATCGGGTCGTGGACCATCTCTTTCAATTATTTTCTTAATTCGTGTGAAATTTGTTAAAATGACATTTAATTTAGAACCGAAAGAATATCTACGAGATGCATTTGATTTAATGAAATGTTATAGTCCCGTAAAAGAGACAAAATCAACCCCCAAAAAGTGAGTTTGTTAAAGAGCTTTGAAATAATATTGGAGATGAAGCTTAAATGATTGGTAAAATTAACCAATCATCTATTACCATCCGTCTATTTTGTCATTGATTTTTTGGCTTCGTGAGAAATTCTCGAATGTGGAAAATTAATGTGCTCTAATGCGTAAAAATATCGTACAACTTAAGTTATTTTCTTAAAGATGCCTTTTGTTTTGTTAACCAAGGTAATATGGACCAAGGCCCGATTAAGTCTTGGATGAGAGAGTCGGTCGAAGCAATGTGGCACCAAATGTTCAATCGGATCAAAAGATAATTTCGTTTCAAGTAAAAGTCAAACTCATGAGAAAGCAAGTATACTCCATGCCTCAAATCGAACGGCCACATGATCATCGACGATAGGTTATTTTGTTAGGAAGGGAAACGTAATTGTTCGTGATTTTCATGTTTTTTTCTTTTTTACATCTTCGCATAATTTATCATCTATCATGACATTTGGGACCAAAACAAAATCTTAATTAGGATAAAAAATGAATTCATTGTAAAATATTCAATGCCATTAATTCAACTCTACTTACAAAAAAAATGCAATTTACGTCTTAAACACAGTATTGTTAAAAAATGATTACAAACATCAGAAAAATTTATGTATTGAAGCCATGGAGTTTTCATGGCTTATAAAAAAAATTTATTATTTCAGTGAAATTCGGTCTTCAATAATTTACACTTAGATATATCTTCATAGACTTTTGTCGTAATAATTAATTACCAAAAAATGGATTCATAAACCATAAGTAACTATACATTTTTTTTTGGTTTTATAAACATGATCAAGCAATTGGTAGCAGAACAGGTTTTGAACTAGAAAAATNGGTATGAGTTGAATGTTTGCTGTGGAAGGAGTTTCAATGTGATCACGTGTTTAAAGATATGTTGGTGCTTTTGTGTAAAAACCGTTCTGATTAATTGTGCGAAAGTGTTTGGCGGTAAATTCTTTTGGTGATAACGATGGTACAAGATAAGGTCTGAGGTTAAGAGCTTGTGTCTTTGATTTGATGGGATGATTGTTGGGATATTAGTTCAAAGCACACATCGGAAAATTAGACAATGATGGTATACTATATAAGTTAAATCCAACTAATATGACACGTTTTGGGAAGGAGTCCATAAATTATTTGTGCGGACTTATCTACTTAACTAAAAAATCATATTGGGTGGAGTTATGAATTTTCAGTGTCTAACATGCACATGATGAGGAACCACAATCTAGGGTTTGTGGACGACGCCTTGTGTTGAATCTTTTATGTACAACACGTCCCGCAATTATGATTATGGCGCAAGTCATTCTGGCATGAATTTTGTTTGTTGGAGCAGGGGCGGATCTACATAAGGTAAGTTGGGGGCAACTGCCCCCATTAAATTTTTCAATTTTCTTTTAAATTTTAAAGCCTCAAATTATTTGCCCCCATATAGAAATATGTTTTTGCCCCCGTAAAAATAATCACTCTCCAAATTCAATTAGATTGGTCATTTATTTCCTTTTGTTTTCACGAACCCATTTATGTTCTTTCTTAGCAATATCATGTTTCTCTTTTTAACTGCAAACATTAACCATATATTTCCTTAAAATACAAAATCATTTTATTTTTTTCCAACATAATGT